AAATTGAATTGTTTGACTAATCAGCTAGACATAATTAACTTGTAACTTGTTCCATGTTAATTAAGCTCTTGTCACAATTTTCTGGTCCAAATAATTGCTTTCTTGACCGTTAATAGCAATGAGGGTCCCACCAATTGTGAGGAGGAAGTCAATATGCGCAGCTGTTAACGGTACAAAAATGGATTAAAATCTTGGGGAAAATTATTTCCAGACAGCCCCTAAGTATTAATTGTGCATTTACGCCTAATAACCTCCCTCTAGATGTAGTATGGACGAATCTCGCGTTTTTCAGTTGACATGAAGTCAAGAAAAAAATACAAACAGACCATGCAAAGATCACACAATAACAAATAACAAAGAAATATTACAAGATCAGATTCATACTACTATATATAAGTGTGTCGTATAAATGTATAGATATGTGTACATACATGATAAGAAATGTCTCACTAGTCCAACAATTTTATTCCACCTTCCCCATAAATATCTCAATATTAACTTAAATTATTTCCCCAACAAGATACGACTATCACTAAAAAAGTGTCCTTATCAGTGTTAACCCTAATTCATACATATCACCTTTGTCCATCTTATTCCTCATTATTTGCCTTTGCTTGCACTAGAAGAAACCTGAAAAAAAGATGACCCATCACCATTCACGACAAAATTAGGAATAATCTGAGGTGGGTTGTCGCTAATTTGGCTCCCGACACTGTATGAGATAAAAGGAGTACTAGTATTATAGTACTCAACGAAATCTTTATTTTTCACAAATGGGATATTGCTGTCCTGCCTGCTGGATTTCTTATCTTTGATAATGCTTGATCCAGCGCATTGTCTTGGCTGAGTTTGATAGAAAACCTTTGAAATCACTAATTCTCCATCTTTTTCTTCTTCGTTATTGCCCAAGTGATATTGGTGCATTACCCAATTGGTTTTCTCAGGTTTTCTTTGCCTGCCGTAGTTTGTATAGAGAACTAAGATTTTCTTGTACCCTTTTATGGTTCCACCTGTTGAAACTGGCCTGGTTTTGCCAGTTTTGTGCCATCTTGTTTCTCCGGCACCGTCCGTGTCGGTGTGTACCTTCCGTCGTTTTCTAGTCCCGGTTGTGTATGCCTTTGAGGGCCTGTGAAAGAAGTGGCGAATTTGGCCATCCTTGCCTACTCCTGCGCATTGAATATGTTAAAGGGTAAGAAAACAATTAAAAAGACAGGCTTGACTAATCTTCTTTAACAAGTTTGACATTTTAAAATCGACCCGAAACTCAAAATTCGCCCATGTCCACGGACTTACCTTATTGATATTAGGCCATATACGAATTAATCTTCAATTAATGCACGCTAGATAAATATGTTCTTATCCTACTAAAAAATCCACATTTTTGGAGGGATTATTTTGAACGTTAGCTCATCTGGAGACTGGACTAAGTAAATATTACTACACATGAAAAAAAAAAAAATTTAAAATTATATTGTACAATGATATTCAATACCCTCTCTAAGCATACCCAAATATTATAATATAAATGTTCGTGAAAATATGACTAGCCGATTGGTTAATTCTAAAAGTCAAGAATCGACACGAAATGTGTGGCCTGTTTGTTTCGGATTAAAATCAAAATTTAATCTAAATCAAAGTCAAACAATCAATATTAACCACATCTTTTATAGGTCCCACAATTTTTCAACCACACATTTCAAAAACTTCTATCACAATCTACTAAAAATCTAATTTTAATTCTCAGCAAACACCCTCTAAATGATTAATAATTGTAAGTGCTCTGAAATAAGTGGATAAAAAGTATATTTGACCAACTTAAATTATTATTTAAACTTTCCCAAACCTGCACTAAAACTTAAAATGAACGACTGAGCCATGACATGTACCAAACTTGACATTATACAAACTTAATATCTGATTTTAATTTTTATATTGATGAGGATAAACGTATATTTATAAATATTCAGTCGTTATTAATTAATTAGTCGACTTTAAATCTGAATCTAAGTCTGAGATGAATTACTAAACAAGGAAAGGACAATAAAAGCTTTTTATTCACCACAATATAGGAGTTTATATTTCCAACGTCATCATTACTCCATTTTCTAGCTCTTTTCGAATTTGGTCACAATCGTTGTGGGACAAGAAAAGGCATATCAGTTAAAGCTTTCAAGCAATTATCAGTCTTAAGTTAACACGACACTCCTAGATATAAGCAATTGAACCTCAATCAAACATGAATTATTTCATTCAAGAATTAATAATTAAACTTGAATATTAATCAATAACCTGGTAGCTTCTCTGGATGAGTGTAGCAGATCCCATTCTCACCCTCAATTGTTGGAATAAATTCATCGATAAGAGGATGCAATTTCCGGGCATTAGAAATCACCTTTGCCTCCAAATGTTCCAGAATTTCTTGATCAGAAGGATCAAATTTCACTCCAGCTGGTAGCCCCGGTAACTCATGAAGTCCAGTCTGATTCAAGATTTTGTTGGTATTAACAAAATGAAATGAAGTTTCCACAATCAAGAACATACTCGTTACAAATATACGTATATCATGTCAATTAACCATCTTCTCTAATCAAAAGCTTAAGCTATTAAAGAGAAAACACATTTCTTCATTTAATTTTGTTTTCAATAGGGATTTATGTTTTTGTTCGGTTACAATTTTACGAATAGGTAAATATTTCGATAATATTGAACAAACTCACTGAAATTTTAAAAGTATGTTAAAGATGTTACAAACTTCTATTTGCCAAATTCAATTTTTTCTATCATAGACTTTCATGCCCAATCTTTTGTATGCACTAATGCCATATTGAACAAACAAATCTAAAAACTTAAATTGTATAAAAATTTAACCTAATATGAAAATTTAAGCCATTTATTTATTGAAATTTGGTATTCTAAAACATATTTGGAAGAAATCATATATACCTGATCGTGGAGTTGTATGGTATGGCCACATGAAGGACAAGTTATAGTCTTAACATCGTCAATTTTTGAGTTGATAACACTGTTTTCTTGTGGAGAAGAGATAATTTGAACGTGGGCTCTTTCGTTTAAGTCATTACACCATGTCATGTCTTTTGCCTTGCTCTTACGCCCATCCCAGACTGGGTCTTCCTTTCCAGATTCCTCCACCGCCTCTCTAATTATAATCTGACAAATTAAAAAAATAAATTAACTAACAAAAAAAGTACTTAAGATAAGAAAAATAAGTTGGAAAAGCACGTTCAAAGTAACCAAAATCTTGATTCTTCTTGTTCTTGCTGTTGGCAAGGAACTCAGAGAGAGAGAGGGTTGGAATTCTCTTGCTTATATTTTGTGAAAGAGAAAAAAAGAATGATAGTTTTATTTTCTAGAAAAAAACAATTAGGTTGCTTGGACGTCAAGTTTAGTTTTGTTGGTGTGTATGTTCACGTGTACCAGAATAAATCAAACTCTCATGTTCCCTTTGACCGTGCCTAATGAAATACTGTGTACTGCATAAATGATGTTTTGCTTTCTTTTAGAACTAGAACGATTAATTTTAACTAGAATTAGAGAATAGACTAAGCCCCNNAGAATTAGAGAATAGACTAAGCCCCCGTCTTTAGTTTACATACTCATTTCAACAACATATTTATACAATAAAATATTTTACACGTAAATTCAAAATTTTTCTCTACTTTTTTAACCACGCATTTTCGAAAAATTCACTATTAAAAACATTGTTTTCTCAAAATAATGGCTATCAAATAGGAATTCAGACCGGTTGCTAGTCGTGTTCCACGCTAGCTATGAGTTTATACATATTTAGCTCCAGTTTGATTTGACCAAAGATTAGATTTTTATTAGATTCTAATAATAAAAGTGGATGAAATTTTGTGGTTGAAAAGTTGAAAAAAATTATGGATCCTGTAAAATGGGTGGTTAAAAATGAATTTAGAAAAAAATGAATTTTAAAAATTAGGGCCAAACATGAACATAATATATTTGGAGAAAATTAAGTTAAAAAATTTAAGAGTAAACAAGAAATGAACCAAGGGTAGAGTGGATGTGGGGCAACAGATATTCTTTGAGGACGTTTCACCTCTTTCACCTAGAGAAGGAGAAGGGTTTAGCTCCAGTGTCAACCTGGAGTGTCCCTAAAGCTATATACTACTACCAGTGTGTGTATATATATATATATTATATGTACGCACCAACGAATATGAAAGTAACAAACGGTGAATTACACCAACCTGTATTCTCAACTGCTATATTTCCATTTCTTCGACTACACTTCTGTACCCAAGAAAAGTATCTCTTTTACAGACAGACGCACACAAATCATAAAATCAGTTCGAATATATATCTTCTATATATTAAA